GGGGCCGGGAGCTGCCCGCTCCCCCCTCGCTCCGCCGCTGGGATGGATATCGGCTCGCTGCGGCTGGAAGCTCCCCCGGGGAGTTTTGGGAACGCGGTCCCCCATCAGGGCGTCCTGGAGGGATGCTCCCCACCAGGCACCCCAGGACCAGGCTCCCCGTTGGGGGACACCTGGGGACCCATCGGGACAATCCTGCTCAGCCCTGGGGTGCCGGTGCAGCTGGGCTCTGTGTCCCACCTCTCGTCCCCCAGCTTGTGGACGCGCAGCGGGCACCGGGGTCCCCACGGATGGTGGTGAGCGCTGGCTGCTGAGAGGGGACGCTGAGGGGTCACTGGGCCCTGAGCAGCAGCTTTGCAGGGCTGGCCCCACGGGTCATGCACAGGCAGCGGCTTTTGCCCCTTAGGAGGGACAAGGAGAGGTTTCGAGTCCTTCATCCAAACCCAGGCTGCATGCAGGGCTGGGGTTCCCCTGACGGTCAGGTTACGCCACAGTACGGCCTTTGCCAAAGCTCCCTGCCCGTTGCCTGGCCAGCCTTGCTCTTCTACCCCAGGCCTGGGTCCCCCCATCATCACTGACACGGATCACCACAAATCCTGCACACGCGGGTGCCCAGTGAGGTCCTGAGACCTGCTAGGTCCCTGACTCGGGAAAGGGCTTTTCCATCCTCCTCCAACCTGCTCCACTCAGCACCCCCACACTCTGAGCATGGGCTGGCATGAGCCTGCTCCCCCCCGTGCCCTGTCCAGGCTGCCCCATGCTCCCTGGCTGGCACCCCCAGCTCCCCCACAACCATACTTGTGCAGAGGCAGCACCAAAGCAGGAGAGCTGAATAAATCATGCTGTGCTGAATTATGGAGGAGCTGCCTGGCACGTAGCACAAGCCTCGTGGGCGGGAGGGCAGCGGGGCTGCGCCGAGGACCCCATGCCACGGCACCACGGCACACTGAGCATCATACTGGTAATGCCAACGTACACACTGCCTGCCCCCATCACCTGCCTCAATGCCGTTCCTCATTAGTACCGAACTAATGGGTGAATTGATGAGGCTGGGGCTGGAGCTGCCCCTCATCAACACACGATGCCCTTATTTGCCTGCTGGACTCCCACCCGATGGGATCCTGACCCCAAACCACGTCCTACTGTAACCACCGGACCCCTCCTGGAGCTGGGGCCAGGGCCAGGCACCCTCAGTCCCAGCTTCTCCCTCCTCCTTGCACCAGTGTTTCTCCTCCCAGTGATGGCAGAGGGTGAGGGCAGGGACCCAACCAGCAAACCTGGGCACCCACCCCCCAGGGACCCCAAGGACACAAGTGTGCGTCTTGGCATGGACAGGCAGGACCCGCTTCTTCCTAATCCCCTGCCTGGGGATTTGCTCCTCCGGGCAGGTCCCCTGCGTTTCTGCGCAAGCAGATTACAGGGGGCTATTTCTGACGGCAGCTTAAAGGTTTGGGTAAAGGGATGAGGCAGCGCGGGCCCCCTCCACGCCGGCACATGCAAGTGGCACTGGAGTCATGGAGAAACGTGACCCGTGGGGGTCCCGGGGCCAAGCACGGCTGTCCCCATGGAGAGGGGATGGGGATGCCCGGGGTCCTACTGAGCGGGGTGTTCCCTGCCCTGTGGCAGGCAAACGGGGTTTGAGGTTCAATCCCTTGCACTGTTGCTGCAGGGTAGGGGGGTGCCGATGGCTGGGGGGGGCTGCACCCCGCTGCCTGCTGACCAGGGAGGGGAGCAGCCCGATGGGGAAGGCTGCAAGCACAGGCAGGGCACGAGTCGCCAGCCCAGCCTGTCGCAGGCGGCGGGGGGGAGCTGGGGCGGCAGTGGGGCCAGGGCCTCAGCCCCATCTGTCTCCTGCTGCCCCACATCCATCCGCCATCCCCTCTCTCTAATCCTGTCCCCGCCACACGTAGGCCAGAGGCAGAAGCAAAGCAGAGATAATCTGTCTGTGCCCCCCGCTGAACCCCGACCCTGCCCCAGGAACGGGCCTCGCCGCAGCGCCGTGGGGCATCGTCCCTGCCCTACCACGGCGGCTGTGGGTGTCTCCCCCCGGGCACCCACACCCCATGGCTCCAGGGGCTTTGCTGGCAGCAGCGGCCCCGTGCCCCCCTCGGCCGCTCCAGGCTGTCATGTTTGGTGGGCCAGCAGCACTGGGGGCCACCGGCGCACTCTCCACCCCAGAGAGCCACGGCAAAGTGCGGGGGGAGCAGGGACGTGCAGGGGGTCCCGGGAGATGACAGGAGCTCTCTCTGAGAGTCCGGCTCAGCTCAGCAGAAGCTGCTCCCAGAATTAGCCCGGGATGTTCTGGGCGAGGAAATCCAGCCCGTCAATCCCATTAGGGGCGATTAGCTCGTGTGTTGCCCTCGCGGCCCCGACCCACCCCGGCCGGTGCTGCCTGCACCCCGCTGCCCTCACCGGCCCCACGGCGCGGGATGGGGCACTCACGAAAGTACTGCAGGGTCTCCTCGATCTGCTGGGGGGTGAGGGGGGCCACGGGCTCCGGGGGGCCAGGGGGAGCACGCAGCCAGTCGTCATGGTCGTAGTGAAAGATGGTGTCAGCCCGCAGCGTGTAGCGGGGCAGCTGCTGGCCCAGCAGGCTGATGATCTCCACCTCGGGGACATCGCCGCTGCACAGGTCTGGGGACAGAGGGGCACAGTGTCAGCCACGGGTGGGGGTCACTCAGGAGGAGGGTGGCGTGGGGGGGGCCTTGGCGGGGGAACGCTTCCTGCACCCCTCAGCCCACTCTGTCCCCTCAGGGTTTGAGGCTGGTGCCACTAGCCAGCTCGGTCCCCAAAGCCACTCGTTGTGGGGACTGGGGTTCCCCCCCTTAGGGTGGCACACAGGGACCCCCGCCCTTGCTCCCGCCTCACCCCCCCGCTTTCTGCGGGCAGGGTCCTGCTGCCATCTCCTGGCCACGGTCTGCCCGGCCGAGCGGCGCTGGGGACAGCAGGCGAGGGATGCCAGCGTGGGGCGAGGGATGCCAGCATGGGGCGAGGGATGCCGGGATGGTGGCTCAGCTCCGGCCACACCATGGGGACAGGACGAAGGACCAGCCCGGAGCTGCCCCAGCTCCCCGCCCCCCTCACCCCAGTCCCCAGGGCTACCCACCGGCAACCGCCCACCTCTACCCACCGGTGATGGTCGCAGCATCGCGGCGTCTGCCCGTGGCCGACCCGTGGGACGCAGGGCCGGTGTGGAGCAGGGCAGCAACGGGCGAGTCCGGGCTGGGCTGGAGGTGGCAGGTGGGTGGGCGCTGGCTGGGGGGGGTCTCTTGTGGGACTGCGGTGTCCAGTTTGGCTGGCGTTATGGGGGGGGGCCGGCTGCCATGGGGAGAAGCGCCTTCCTCTGTGGCTCCCTGGAGCGGCACTGGCAGGCAGCAGTCCCTTCTCCGGCCCCTGCCTGGGGAGAAGGAGCTGTTAGGGTGATGCTCTAAGGACCAGGGACACATCCTGAACCCCATGTTCAGGCATCCACATGTCCCCTAGCATCCTGCCAGCTGGCCAAACACCCTCTGCAGGGACAATGTCTGCCAGGCCTGGGGCTTGCGGAGACCTGGACAGCATGGCCAGGGCTCAGGTGTCCCCGCTCCCCAGCCAGCCTGTGGCCTGCTGTGGGGACAGGGGGACCATGGGAACAGCCAGCACCGGGGCGGGCCCCAGCTCAGCCCCCACCTGCTGCTGAATGCGGGGTAGTTTCAGGGATGGCGCCGGGTCAGCATACCTGCTCAGCACCGCCTCTGCGGTGGCCAATACGTGACACAGGGGGCTCAGCACCAAAGCAAACACTTGGTGATATCCGGATCGGTGTCAGTGCCAGACAGGGGAGAGGATGCTCCGAAGGGATGGGGCAGGACCCTGCTCCCCCTGGGCTCGCTGCTGGGTCCTGCCTGCAGGAGCGGGCAGCGGAAGGAGCTGTAGAGCCACTGGGCAGTGGGTGGACACGGCTGCAGTGCTGGCAGGAGCCCTCGGGAGCCCCACCTCAGAGAGCAAAGTTCAGCTGTGATCCTCCACCCCATCAGCACCAGGATGCAGAGCAGGCACCTGCCGTGTCGCCCAGGGCAGGGCTGGGCAGCATCCACGGCAGTCCCATCCCAGCCATAAACACATCACGAGACAGGCCATAAAACCAGCACCTTCCTGCCCTCCTGCCACCTCCAGTGGGCCTGGCTTGGGCTGCAGCCACTGCTGGCACTGCCGCCTCTCTGCCCTGGGGGGGGGGGCAGAAGCCTCCTGCGCAAGCCCCGTAATGCATCTCCACCCCTGCTCCCACCCCCACCGCGGTGGGTGCTGCGGCACCAGCAGCCCCTCATCCCTGGCAGCAGGTTCTTGCCAGGGCACCACTGCCCTCCCTCTTGGCACGTGCTCATGGCTGCTGTCACATCCACAGCACCCAGGCCACCCTGCACCTCCCTCCAGCGAGGCCGGATCGTCCCTGGCACACAGGAGGGGCACGAGGCAACACAGACACCCCGAAACACACCCGCAGGCCCACAGTCCTCTGCCCCACAGCACCAGGACCGCCAGACATAGGCGGCCCAATCCTGTACCATGCTGCCCAGAGAACAGCTCCCCAGCCCCAAACCTGCAGACCCTCTCCCCCCCAGCTTCTTCCCAGAGAAGGAAGGGGACCCACCGTGCCGAGGTGCCGGGCTGCTGCTGCCCCCACTCCCTGTGCTGCTGCTGGCTCTGGGGAGGGAGCCTGGCCGGTGAGTCAGCGCTCAGCGGGGGCTGCCAGAGCCCTGCGTCTCCTTTTGGCTCAGCTCCTGCGTGTACATTAACTCTCCCCAGGGGGGACCTCGTTCAGACATGTGCGAGCAGCTCCCATCGCCCCCGTATCCCGCCGTCTCCCACCCCCGGCCACCAGCGCTGCCGGACGACCTGGGGATCTGCCCCACGGGGGCTGGCGGGGAGCTGGGCGAGAGCAGGAGGATGGCGGACCCACGGCACCAGCCGGAGACGGTGGGCCAGGAGAAGCGGGACCCTGGCTTGGCCCGTGCCCGGGTGCACGTGCAGACCTGTGCTCGCTGCTCTCTGCCCTGCCCTGATGCCGTCATGCAGCTCCTGCCCGGGCACCTCCCTGCCTGCGCAGCCTCACGGCAGGGCCAGGCTGCCCTGGGTAAAGGGTAGGGGCTAGACCCGAAGCCCCTTCCCCACCCTGCACCCGGGTGCCGACACTCGGCAGCAGCTGAGTGGCACTGGGGTGGCTGAGCTCGCTCCGAGCTATTTTTTCCCTTCAGCTGCTGCGGCAGGAGCCTGGGGCTGGGGAGGGGAGGCTGCTCGTGGCGAGGAGCCTCCGCAAGTGCCTGGGTCGGGGGGGCTGCAAAGCAGCAAGGCCAGCATGCGGGTTGAGGGTGAGGGCAAGGCGGTGGCTCAGTCCTGCCACTGGGATGGGGGCAGTCCTGCCCTGCCCCGGCCGAGGGGATGTCCCCAGAGGGGTCCCTGCAGAGCCCCCCGGGCTGGGACGGGGAACATCCCTGCTGTTGTACAGAGGAGGGTATGGACACAGCCGGGCTGTGGCTCCCGCATCCCATTAGATCCTGTCTGGATGCTCAGGCGACCCCGGGAGGCAGCAGCTGCCTGAAGCATTGTCCAGAAATGGGTCTCTCCCTACACCCGAGGCCATCGGGGAACGGACTCCTGCCCCAGCAGTTCATCCTGCGTGCTGCCTGGCTTCCCAGCTGGAACAGCCTCCCCAGCCCCCAGCTCAGCCGGGGCTCCATCACCTTTGCTCTGTCATGACCCCGCAGCACCCAACACTCTGCCCCTGCCGCAGACCTCGCCGTGACTGACGACCCCATGGGTTCTCTGTGCCCAAGGGGCTGAGCCCTCCGCTCCGTTCCCCCTGCAGAAATACTCTCAGCAGCGTCAGCCTCTTCCCGAAGAGCAGGAAAACCCTCCCTGCTCCTGCACAGACTTCCTGGTTCAGGAACCGGGGACGGAGAAGCGCAGCCAGACCCCAGCCGCTGCCGCCGAGCCCCCTCCGCAGCCAGCCACTGCTGCGGCCAAACCACCCCCCGGGACCCCAACCCTGCCACAGGCCCCTGGCTGCTAATGCTGAGGGAGTGGGAAATCCCACCTAGGCGAGGAGCGAAGGCTTCGGCAGCAAAGCGTGGAAATGTGTTATGAGTGTCGGAGCCCACGAGCGGGGCCATGGGGGGAGCTGAGCGCTGGGAGAAGGGGTGAGATGAGGCAAATTCTCTGGGGGGCTCAGGCAGCCGCTGCCTTTGACACCCCCGGGGGACCAGTGGGGACTGGATGGGCACGGTCTGGGGCTCACCCGCTGGGGCTGCCCGGGGACTCGGGGTGCCCGGAGGTGCCGGGGGGAAGTGGGACATCGTGGGGAGCTGCAGGCACAGCGCACCCCATGAGAGTGGGAACCCGGCATGCCCCGGAGCCGGGAGCGGGATACTGGGAGAGCTGGGGGCTCGGTGCAGTGGGGGATGCCGGGAGGTGCCGGAGCTCAGTGCATGGGGGGTGGGGAGGGTCCTGGTCGGTGGCTCTCGGTGAACTGGGGGGTCCCGGGGCACGGGGCACACTCACCGCTGGGCGCTGCTCCTGGTGCGGCGGCGGAGCGGGACCCTCGTACCTCGCTCCCGCAGCTCCGCCGGTAACAAAAGCCGCTCCCTGGGCAGGTGCGGATCATGGCCGAGCATGCCGGGACCTGTAGTCCGTCCTGCCGCCTGCTGGGGCACCCCTCCAGCCCTCCCCGGGGGGTGCAGCTCCCTGGGAGACCCCACAAGCAGCTCTGGCTGTCCTGGTACAGGTGTCCTCTGGCTCCACTCCCCCCGCTCAAAAATCCAGGCAGTGCCCCCTGGCAACCCTGTCATGGTGGGACTGGGTGTCTCGGGATGTGTAGTCCTGCCCCGATGAGGGGACCCCAGGGTAGGCAAGGGGCACATCCTGCTCATGGCCCCAGGAGGGACTGGGTCCCATGGCTATGCCCCTGGGGATACCCGCAGGAGCCAGCCCCTCCTGGGGCAGATGCTCTGGGGCATCTCCAGGCCTGCTGGGCACCTCGGGGACAGCCGGATCTGACACCAGGAACATCCCCGATACCCACAGTGGGGGTGGCTGGGAGCCCGGAGTGGGGCTCCAGGCTCGGCATGGCCAAACCCCCATCCCAGGACACACAGGGCTGGAGCCCCACATCCCACGTCAACCCAGGCATGGCTGCTTGGGGTGCAGCAAAGCGCTGGCAGCTCTGCTGGGGTCCCTAGGGACAGGGGTGAGACTTGGCAGGGGCACTCTGTCTGCTCCCCCAAGTCACCCTGGGGACCCACCCGGCAGAGCCTGCACCCGCAGAGATGCACGTCTGGGTGCATGAATGCCCTCTCAACACTGCACAGCCCAGGCAGCAAGGGCTGGTCTGGCTAGATCGCCTGGCTCCCCCCCTGCACGGGGGGCTTATTCCCATTGCCTGTCACAGATCCGTCTCTTGTTCTGGCAGCGGCTGCAGCAGGCAGTGGGCTGCCTGGCCCCCCAGCCTCATCCGGAAGCGTGCTCAGCTCTGCCGGGGCTGCCCGGAAAGCAGCTGTTGTTTTGCTCGTTCCCAGTCCTGGCAGAGGCCGCCGCAGGAAGCGTGGCCGCATCCCCGCCGCACCGGGGCTTGGCTGCGGCCACGGGGCTGAGCTCCGTGCAGGATGTTCCCCTGAGCCGCCGGGACAGCGCTGGAGCCAGCCCCGCTTCCCAGACCAGCTCCTGCTGCTTTTGTCCCCGGCTTGCTCCTGCCCCAGCCCAGGCTGCTACCGGGACCGACCACGGCACGCCACAATGGACGTGTCAACTTTCGCGTCCTACTGCGCTCGGCAGCGGCCCCGTGCGCGGTGGGCACCCACCTCCCCGTCTCCCTGCCTCCCTCCGTGGCACGGCTGGGCGCAGCAGCAGTGCCAAGCAAACGCGCAAGGACGGAGGGGTTGATGCTGACAGCAAGCGGGAACAGCTGCGACTTTGTTCTCAGCTCCCTTTGATCGCGTCCCCCCCATCTCCCCGTGCTGGCGTCAGCCGTGTCGGGCCGATTAGTGTCTTCCCAGTGTCTGCACAGAACGAGCTGTGCTACAGCAGGCAGAGCTTGGAGCCGGGGGGTCAGGGACGATGTCCTGGCTCTCCACCTGCCTTCCCTGTGCCACGGTGCTGGGTATCTCACCGAACCGATGCAGCAATCGCAGCACCGGCACAGTGCAGACGTCGCTGCGTGACCTGACTCCCCTCTCCAGGTCCCCCACCTCTGCCCAAGGAGCCCCCGCGCCCCCGGCCACCCCCCACAGGATGGATGCACGGGGCAGAGGTACAAACCCACCAGGGACGGGATGTGGGCATCCCAGGGCCACCCGTGTTTCACCTTTCCATCCCCTGGCATGTACACCCCAGCAGGCAGAACCCAGCAGCCTTGCCCACGCCCGCAGCCTCACATGGAGCTGCTGCAGGCACTCTCCTGCCTGCGGGCTCAGCCTGCGCCGTCTTGCCCAAAAAAGCACCGTAGGAAAGCCTAGGGTGGCTGGCAGTGTCTGTCTCTGGCCCCATCCCCATGCCGAGGAGGCCACCAAGCAGATGGGCAGCCCTGAAGTTGGTGGGTAACTTTGTGAACAGAGTTTCCACCTCCCAGCACGATCCCCGCCTGGCACCCAGTGTCACTTTCCCATCGCTCTCCCTGGGTGCAGCTGCCAGAGTTAGCATTTCAGCTGAGAATATATCCTCCTGCCATCTGTTCCTGCTACGAAGCCCAGTTGCAGAAGGAGGCAACCAGGTTTGACTGAGTAAATCACTTTTTTAACCTGGCCTCTCATGACTCCATCCAGGTTTCGCTCCATCAATCAGCGGGGCTTGCTCCCAACCGGCGCGTTTATCCCCTAGAGCTCATTAAAGTGAGCTCTGCTCGGCAGCAGAGAGGAGATGTCGGTGATGCCGCCTAACAAACAAACATCTTAATTACTGGGAGTTTTTACCTCCTGACAGAGCAGACAGCCACCTCGACAGAGCCGGCATGCTAACGACCCAGCGAGCCAAGGGCTGGCAGCGACTCCGGGTGCCGGGCTGACAGCGGGAGCTGCTGCCAGTGCCGCCGGGCTGCGAATGGGTGGCCTGGGCCTTGCCGAGCATCGTCCCTGAAGCACAGGGAGGGGGCCACCAACCTGCTTGTCCCCCCGGCCACCACCTGAGCCCTCGGCCAGGCAAAGCGGGTGCAGAGCAGGGGACCGAGCTCGTCCGAGGCCGCCCGGCCCCAGGGGAGGGAACCGCCAACGCCTGGCCCGAGGAGGGTGATGGCCACCTTTACCCCGGTTGCCCCAAGGGGACTCGCTGACCTTCCCCAGCTGATGGAAGAACAGGCTCAGGGCAACGCGGGGCTGGGGGGGTTATTTTATTCTTTGCTTTGGTCTATACAAAAACAACTTACAGAAATAATAAAATCTTCCATTCCTGAACCACACTCCAGTAACTGTCCATCCCTTTCCGGTGGAAGCGTTAAACCACCATCAGATCTAGAACCTCTTTAAAAAATGTGTTAGATAAGGGAGGAGGGGACAGAAACACACCACTCACCAAAAAGAAGGGA